GACCACCTTTTTCCATTCCCTAATGAAGATGGAAACAGATGATAAGCCAGCCTGGCATTTCTGCCTTCCCCAGGGTGGCTGTCCTATCAGTGAGTTGCTCTTTTTCAGGTAACTGAAGTCATTTTTTTTTTCCTGAGTTGTAGAAACCTACTCATCCACCATGATAGGTCATCTTCTTGAGAAGACTTTTCTGCTTCCTGAATATGTTGGTTTGGGAGGGCTACTATAACAAAAATGACAGAGTAGGTGGTTTAAAAGATAGGCCTTCATTTATTTCCTCCCACTTGTGTAGACTAGAAGCCCAAGAGCAGATGTCAGTGGGGTGGATTTCTTCTAAAGCTCTCTCCTTGGCTTGTAGGTGTTCGTTTTATCTTTGTGCTTTAGTGTGATCTTCCTTCTGTGTGTGTGTCTCAGTCAGATTGGATAGGGGCCCACCCTGATGACCTCATTTTAATTTAATAAATTTTTAAAGACTCTATTTCCAAATATGGTCACATGCTGAGGTACCAGGAACTAGGACTTCAACAAATGAATTCGGGGTGGAGGGATACATACAGAGTAGCCTGTAACACTAGAATTTCACTCAAAACTTCTGGGTGTTATTGTGTCTCCTTACAGTTGCCTGGCCCGGAGCGTAAAGAGATACTTTGAAGGAGAGTATAAGCCACCTTCATAATTGAAAGGGATTAAGAGATGGCAGGAGACAGGAACCCTGAACTCTGTTCCATAACCATTTTATGAATTGTTCCTGATGTCTCCCATGCAGATAAAAATTGCAGCAGGCTGATGTTAACCCTTAGCCCAAGAGAAAGCACACCTAGAGTATTGCAGGGACAGAGTCGGGTAGCCCTTACCGATATTAGAAGGCACTTGCCTCTTCTAGACCCTATAACACAACCTTAGAATCATCCTAGCAATTTTTCTTTTGGAAAAGAAATTTTTCTTTTGGAAAAGAAATTTTTCTTTTGGAAAAGAAATTTTTCTTTTTCTTAAATGATGGCCATTAATGATAGTCATTAAAATTCCTGAACCCTGTTCCACCCAGGCCCCTGTGCCACATGCCCCAGAAGGAATCCTCAAAACTGACCCATCCTAAGGAACACCTGTTTTCTATATAGACCTAGCCATGTGGCACTAAGCAGGGAGGATCTGGACTAGCCTGTATCAGTCAAGTCTTAGGTGTCTTAATGAGCACTTACTACATATCAGAATACTGTACTGGATAGTAATTTTCTTTAGACAAGAAAAGAAAAACCCTACCATGATCTGTTTAATAATACCCCAAGTAGTAGAAGGACATAATCTTAGAGTAAACAACAGTCCTTTGCATGGAATAATTTGACTTTACAAATACCAGTCTCCTGCTATGAACCAGGAACTTCATAACAGAGAGTAATAAACTTTGTTATTTGAGTTCAACTTTGAAGGTGAATAGGAGGTCAGTCAGTATGGGACTAGAAAAAATTCTACAGAAGAGAATAAAATGAAAAATGTCAGGGAAAGACCATAATCTTTGAAAGTAGACACAGATGGCTTGGAGTCTTGGCTCTAATACTGTATGTAGCTTAAGAAGCAAAGATGAACTCATGTTGTGGGAGCTCTCTAAGGTCCACATCTGGGTAGTGGTGTGTTGCAAGGACAGAATTGGATAGTCCTTGATCTTAGAAGGCACTGGCCACCCCAAGATCTTGTGAAACAAACTTGGAATCATCTTAGCAGTTTTTCTTTTTGCTTCAGTAGTCACAGCACAGCTGTGGCTACTTTAGTAAATAATGGTCATCAACATGCTGTCAGTCTTGGGATGCTGTGCTTTGTGTACATGGCTAGAGCAGAGTTATGTAACTTCTGAGCTCTAACTGCCTGCAGTTAGACTTGAGCAGCCACCACATACCTGGATGTGTGACACCAGAGATAGGGATGTATGGATCACCCTTTGAGATGAAATCTTATCCAGAGACTGGTCTCATTTTGCAAGTTAGAAACGAGCCTACTTATTTGTTAATTAGATGAGATGATCTAACACTTTAACCAGGAAAAGAATCTTATTGTAAATTGAGGAATTCTTTCCATTCGCTTCTTAATTTATTTTGCCCTATTATCCTCCACCTCCCCACTAAAAAAGAAACACCACATTTGCAGAAAGGGTCTTTTCTCTTGGAGGGAAAGAGACTTTGAGCCATTTGTGCTGTGAGCTGCAAGAGCCAAGAGGGGGGAGAGCAGCAGATGGAACAAGACCTTGGCAGAAGTAGGAATTGCTGAAATTTGGAAAGTAATAGAGGGGTCCCCACTCCTGATAAGTCTCTGTCATATTCCAAAATCCATTCCCTATGGGGAGAAAGGTATCTTTCAAGATACAATAAGACTACATGTGAATCATAGATTTTGCTATTCAGAGTCCTCTGGGTCCTCATCCCAGCTCTGCCGGGAGCAAACTGGGTCACATTAGAAAATTAGTCATCTGTTGGAGTCATAGTATCTTCACATCTTATAAGAAGATACAGTCCATGCTAAGGCCCTAAGAGTGCATGCAGTAGATGCTTATAAACAACCGTTCTTCTTACGATCCATGCACTGATATAATACACTATAAGTTCCCCTTCATCAGCTACAAAGCAAAATTAATATGCTGAACAGCTCATCCACATTACTATATGCATTAATATATATTAATGACTGACATAAAGTAAGTGTGGATTCATAATTTGCTAGCAGTCTCATTGGCCACTGAAATCTTGATTATTTGCTAGAAGTCAGCATAGCCTAAAGATTGAGAGCCTGGTCTCTGGAACTTTATTGTTCTGATTTGAATTGCTGTTGACCAACTTGGACCTTTGGCAAGTGATTCAATCTCTTTTTGCCTCAGTTTCTTCATCAGCAGAATAAGAATGGAGGAAATAGTACCTCTCTCAAAAGGTATGGTATGAGGAATAAATGCAGTAGTGTTTGTAAAGAGTTTAGAACAGTGTCAGCCAATTATATGGTACAATAACGTAGACCCCCTTTAAAAATAAAAGAATAAAAAAATAAAGAATCCAAAGTAATTTTCACTGTTTCAAGTGCTTTGTAGGATCATACCCAATTTCTAGGCAACTCATTTTTCTAGAAACCTAAGTGTGATTCCAATAAGTACACTTTAAATTTAAGGTTCAAAACCTGATCTCCATTCTGGAATCTGTTTCTAAGAAGTCTTCAGTGAAAGGAATTCCTTAGGTAAATACTTAGAGGTGTTAATGGGTCTATTGGGGTGTTTAGAACTCTTTGAAATTTTGATGACTAACACAGACATGCAGATCCTGAAACTGGCTTTGAAGTTTTGATTGCTCAGTCAGATATGCAAATCAAGAACTGGCTTTGACTAAGAAATGAGGCTTACACTTGCCCTTGACTGAAGAGTAATCTGGAAATTGCAGTAAGGAGAATGCCAGTTAGTGACCTGGGAAGATGCACCCATTGTACTGGATCTGCCTGGCCCCATGTGCTCTGGATAGCTCCAAGGGATTTTTGTGCCCTACTGGTTCATGCATTGGCCCAAGAGCAGATGAAGCCTGACATACTGGAAACTAAGCTAATTTTCCTGTAGTGACTTCTTTGTTCCAGTCCTGTGGATTGGGTCCTTGTCAGAACAACCCCAAATGGCATTAGCAGTCGTCTTCAGTAGCTAATGACCCTACTTCTTAGACTAGACAACCCTTTAGGTAAAGAACTTCAGGCCACCATTTAACAAAAAGACTGATTCTATGCTCTGCCTGTGAGAAACTGGGTCTTCAGTGAAAATCTAGCACCATGTGGCATAATGTTAAAGGCATTGGCCAAGATGCGTGGGCTGACCCCGTTAGTTCTAAGGCCAGCAGCTTCATCAATGCCCAACAATTCTTAAACCAGCGACAAAATTTTACTCCTGGGGGTGGGGCCACATTTATATTCTAAGTGCTGGTATGAAATCTCAGTGGGAAACGGTACCGAGGCATTTAATTCCATGCTTGAAGTCAGGAATATTTCAGCCTCAGAAATAAGAAATAATATGTGTATAATATAAATACAGACATCCCAGACATGCCTTTAGCCTTTTGTTCTCTGGCGCCTTCTCTGCAAACAGTTGGGTACTGTCCAGGCCCATACTGTCCCACTGAGCAGGGCTGGGGCCTGACCTTTCCCATTTTCCCTTTGGCTGTTCTCTGTTCCTTTGTCTCAGTGGCAGGTAGCAAAATTTAAGGGTCTGACTTGCAGAAACTTTTGTCCTTTTCATTGAGAAAAGGGCATATTGCCCCATTTTAGCAGAGGAACTGCTCTGTCCCTGACCCAGTGAACACATTGGTGGTGCATAGAGAGTCCTAGGGATAGCAGGAAGTACAAAGCACACATCTGGTATTTTTTTTTCCTCAAAAAGAAAACACCCAGTGGTTTCCAAATATATTACATGTACCCTGCCCACTATAGACAGGTCTTATCTGCCTTCTCATGCTCTAGCTGCCTTGTCAATTATTCACAGCAAGTGTGTGCATGCCTATCCTCCCTGGTCTGCAGGAGGTGTGCCATGCTGCCTCGGCCTTGGGCCAGGCTCTGTCATGTGTCTGCACCTCCACCTAGAGCAGTTACCCCGTTTCCTCCCAGCTTCCTCAACTGAGAGCTGGTGGGATCAGAGGGTGCTCCCCACCTCCGCCCCAGGGTCAAATACAGTCATTTATAAAGCATCAAGAATATCGTCAGGCACAAAGGGAGCTCTCATTAAAGGTTAATAATTACTATGGATAATAGAAACGGTGAACTGACTCATCTGCTTTGAATATCTCTTCCCTGGCAAACACAAATGCTGTGAAATCACAGCAACGTCCTAGTGAAAAGGCTGAGAGTCAGCCCTCTGGAAGGTGTTATGCTCCTGGGTTTCTCTTTCATAAGCTCAGGATGTGGAGGAGGGGCTGGCTTTGGGGTGGTTGTTACTAAGGTCAATCCAGCTTCTCCTTCCTCCTCCAACACATCTAATGCCAAAAACCCTGTTTCAGGCGATCTGGGTGTCCACAGTGGGGAAGAACTCCAGCTCACCACCACTATCACCCACGTGGATGGACCCACCGAGATCTACAAGTTGACCCGCAAGGAGGCCCAGGAGTAGAGGCTGCAGCACCCGGCTGGGACTGTCCCCCACACCCCAGCCTCTCTCACTAAAGTGGGGAGTGTGCCAGAGAGCTCCATGTGCAAAGGAGTACTCACGTATCTTAGCTGTGGTTTCTTGGACCAGCACGTGAATGATTGTCAGTTTGCCTCCTACGGTAGTGCTCAGAGGAAGATTCCTGCAGCCACTAATGCATCGTGTATGATAAAAAAACAAATGACAACAACAAAAACTCTGGTATGACACATTCTCTGTGATCGTTGTTAATTAGTGACATAGTAACATCTGTAGCAGGTGGTTAGTAACCTCATGTGTTGGGGGTGTACTGCTTGGGGGATGGTTCGGGCCAGATGGGGTCTGTATGGAGTGGAATATTTGACTCATTTTCCTGTTTTAGATTCTAGGATAGATTTTAACATCCTTTGCAGTCCAAGAAAAGTTGGCGTCATAGTCTTCTCACTTCTAGTCCATGACCACTTTTTTTTTCCTATTTATATCACCAAGTAGCCTATTGAGTTAATATTTAAGTTGTCAATAGATATGTGTCCCTATTTTTTATGGCATAATATAAAATAACTGAATTTCATAAGATCAGTTACACCAGGGACATTTCAGCTTTGAAACCAAATGTGTGTGTCCAATACTAACCAATCTGTTGGATGTGGGTTTTAAAAAATATTTGCTAAACTACCGAAGTAGGATTTATTGTATTAAATGACCTTTGGGTCTGAAAGCTTTTTTAACCTCCTGCTTAAAATGTGTTTTCTTTTGATAAGATGCTTCAAGCAGTCCCCAAAAGTTTATTCAATCATTCAAATAAACATATATGTGCATGCATATATATATATATATATATATGCACGCATCGCCCTCCTGCTCAGCCAGCACATGCATGCAGATTCTGTCCCATGATGAGTCTATGGGGTGGGAGTGGGTAGGGAATGTGACTTTATGAAAAATTAAAATATTTTGTCATCAAATCAACATGTTTGGGGAAAGAATCTATTTCTAGAACTAGGGTGACACTTTTTGTACTGAGTGGTTATCTGCCCTGCAGTCTGGCATGTGTGGCCATATATACATATGTACACACACACAGACTTACATGCATGTACACACACATACATACATGGCCTCTGTTGTGTATATGGTAATTTAGCCTTAAAAATGACTTTACTTGGACATTCCTTCACTTCCATGAATTGACCAGGGCAGCACTAAAGGGTCACAGCACTGGAAATTCATGGGCATTTTCCCTAGAGCAGTACTCTTTACTCATCTAAGTCACTGTCTTTTTCACTTCATGGCTAGACCTCAGGTAGGTGCTTGTCCGGTATCAGTCATCTGTGATCAGGAAGTCAGATGGCTGCTAGTAGTCTCCCCTGTGGGTCAGGGTTAGTTCCAAAGAATAGAGAATCCTTGATGCCCTCTGGTGTTAAAGGGGTTAGTATTCAGCACTGAAAAAAATGAAGACTCCATTTTGGACTGGGCAGAGAAAACTTCTACACCAATGGGGAAATGATGGGTTTGGATGGCAGGGACTGAGATTGAAAGGTCCCCTCATTAAAAATGAGAGGTAGAAAAGACCACACAGGGAAGGATCTTTGGACATTGTCATTGAGAATGAGAAATACAGGTGGGGTAGAGTATCAAAGCATCAAGGAAGAAAAGTGACAAGAATGGAAGAGGTGAAAAGAGGTGTAAAGAAGAAAATGAATTGATGAATCAGAAAATCTATATCCATGAAAAGGGGGAACAGTGTTAGCTATCCTGAAAGTCTGGATAGCATTTAAGGATCAAAGAATCTGTTGGAGTTGGTGGTTTGGATAAATGAGGCTTTTGCAAGTTAGAGAGAAGAAGTAGAGAATCATAGGAAATCATGATGGGAACGAAAGAGGATGATGGCTCCAGTAGAAGCCAGAGGAGAGAGAAGGACGCTTTGTGCTTCTAGAATGGGGGAAGAACTGGACTGAAGGGTGAGAACAGCCATGAAGTCAAGATGAGGAGAAGGTAACAAATCCCTTGGGTGGTAGAGACAGTTGGGATCAAAAACATAAATTGAGGAGCTAGTTTTGAATGAGTGAAAGGATAATTTTTATCCTAAGACAGGAGAGAAATAGCAGATTTAGGAAGAGAAATTTACGGTCAAAAGAAGAGAGGTTTGTGTTCTGTCTTCTCTACAAATAAATGGGTGCTGGAATTCTACCACAGATGTTCTCAGTTTCAAGACTGCAAGGTGACCACAACCATTTTCAATCCGTGGAAAGCTCAAGAAACTAAAAGTAAGAAAAAGACAACAAATTTTTAAAATATGAATTATTGACTGTGTATACCAGTTTTATAAACCATTCAGCATTTTTTCAAGTCATATTGAAGAAAAGTATTAAGTGTCCTAGTTATCTGTTTTTTAAAAAATAAAAAAGTATGCAATGAGCAAATCTTCAAAAAGTTCTAGTTTTATGTTGGTGATCTATCTGTCATTGACTAGGTATTAGTCCTACATTTTCCACTCAAGGAAGGAAAATAACTGTACTAATTAAGTGATTTTCTGTATGACTTCCAGTCTGAAAGCTGAGATAGCACCCTTAGCAAAGGTCATGCCGAAGTCCTTCAGCCCACATCTCAGAGCTGGAGGAGCCCTTTGAAGTCAAACCCAGGGGTTCCTGTAGGTAGTTTTGCAAAGGTTAAAAGATTCAGAAGGGAGATTTGGTCTTGGGTCTCTCATATACATCTTGGCAGTTTCTGAAATTTTGTAATCAGCTCTTTCAGATGGCTCAGATTTGAGAGACATACTGGTCAAACGGGAGAATTCTCACTGGATTGCAATTCCCAAGCAATATTTTACAATGAAGTTTACACCATGATTGTTAACTTCATCATCCAACACATTCTCCCTTTTCTTGGGTACTTGAGAAGGAGAAAAGAAGACATAGAAGAGATAACACACTAGCTATGATGAAGTGGGAAAATCACCCTGTGCCTCTAAAGAAAAGGTATACTATTCCCTAAAGGTGCCTAGCCTGGTGAGGGAACTCAGCCAGGGAGGTTTGGTGGGTGAACATACATCTGCTAATCCCAATCTCTCTGACTGCTTGGAGGCCTAGACTCTTTGGGAACCCCTTCCCTTGACCCAAGCAGACTTTGCTCCTTTTTCTCATAAACATTGTCAGGCTAAGTTAGTGCAGCTGATGATGACTTGTGGTACAGTCTGACTTGGTGATGTGGTCCTACTGTTGCTGGATTGCAAAGATTTTTTCCTGTCATGCTACAGGAATCGTCCTGACCTCCCCAAGCTTGCTTTCGCCCATCATGTATTTCTGTGTGACTTATTTTGTGGTATAGGAGTAATTTGTTTGGAACTGTTTCAGAAGTCATTTCTCCTGTGTCAGTCCGTTTCTGGGGGCTCCTTGAACTGCCTGGTGTCTGGACCTTGCTGTCTCTGTGACAATGCACTTAGCTGTCGGTTGTCGAGAATTCCTTCAGTACTGAGGCCAGATTTGCCCTGGTGACCTTGACCCTTTGGTCTGCCTGAACCCGCTCCATGGGGGCCTTGTCCCAGTCAGGCTGCTCTTCTCCAGGCCCACATCTTGGTTCCTCAGCCCCTCCTCCAAATAGGGTGGAGTCGTGTGACTACTTGCCTGTTAACTACATACTAGTTACTGCTCCAAAAGATGAACTGAAGCTACAGCATTGCTCTGCAAGCACAGGCTAGTGTAGGAATAATACCTTGACTAGGACTCAGCATCCTAAGAAAATGTCACTAGATCTTAAAAATAGCCACATCTTTTTTTGTTTGTTTCTCATGACCATGTATCAACACTAAAATGTCCAACAGTAAAATTAATGTCACCAACATGTTCATTTGTATTCAGTCATATTTTTCAGTGAAATTCTAGAACTTTGCATTTTCTCATTCACAGATTCAAGAAGTGAAGCACATCTTTAAGCAGTTTGAAGTATAAGTAATTAATGCTTTTTTCTACATGCAAAATGAGTTTCAAATGCTGATGATCTACAAATATATAGTCACCCAAGATCAGAAAAGCCTGCCTTTGCCTAGACTTCTCTCATTTGTTCAGCCTTTCCACACACACCATTGCTGTGACACTCCTTTTTCTGTGTGTGTTTTGTAATGGAACTTTATATTCCCCTAATAACACTGCTTCACAGTTATATAGTGGGTTTTCTACTTCACATAATAAAAGACATGAAGGTCAGCATGGTGAGTAACAGAGTTGCAACTAAAAGGAATTTTGTTTTGAACTGTAAGTCTCATTAGAGCAAAATGACCTTATTGGGAGATGTTATTCCAGTCTTAAGAAATAGCTGCCTGCTCCCCACCTCCAGCGATGGCAAGTGTCTGCCCTCTCCTGGCTAAGGAGAGAATGACCGGTACCCCAGAGCACATCCTCCAGGCACTCAAATCTGGAGACTCTGTAGTTGCCCCACAATTATTACTGCTTTTTACTGTGTGCTTGTTCTGCACACAGCTTTGCTTTGGGAGTCTCATAGCAGCTCCCCCCTCTCTTGTCCCCTTCACCTAGGTAGTCTCTGAAGTCTTCACCAGCTGTGATTCTAAGAATCATCAAAGAGCCTGTGTTAATGGCATCCTGTCACACTATAGGCTTTACATAGATGCCTAACCTGTAGCTGCTGTATGCGTATGTGCTGGTATTACTCTCTATGGGGTGGGATATAAGTAGATCCGGACTTAATTGATTTGCTCTTCTGAGTTCCTTGCAGGCCCTAAACTCCCTTGGATGGCTCCTGTATCAAGCAACTCTTTCTCTCGGGATGAATCAATGGGGCCATTTAAGCAGACCTCTCTCTTCAAGACATGGAGGAGCTGAAAGTTACCTGTAGGGTGGCCTACGTGGGATCTACCCACTGCTTGGCATTTGGCCCATGTTCCTCACACCCAGGCTGGATTGAAGTTTCTTGCAGGCATCATACTGTTCAGTTGCCTGCTTCCCATGAGCTGAGAATCCACACTTTAAAGATTATTCCTTTGTATGTGTACTACTCCACAAAAGTCCCTGGAAGTGGCCAGGAGTTTTAAAGTAGCAATCATGTTCTTAGCCAGGGTTCACCTAAAAGCTGATATGGAGGTGAGGATTTGTGTGCAAGTTTGATAGTGAAGGGCATGAAGAATTGAGTCTGACAAAGGGAAACTGCAGACAGTCCATCTCTGTGCGCTGATGCAGAATGGAACTTCAAAATGTGAGGAACACGCTGCAGAATGTCCCCTAAAAGCATGACGAGACAGAGAGGTTCCTCCTGTACCCCCTTTTGTAGGTGAGGGTCACCTGGGCTGTTACCTGCCTGCAAGGGTCAGCTATCTGGGAAAGAAGACATATTTTTATCTGAGCTTAAAAAACAAAAGGGGTTTATTTTAAAGTTTGAGAACATACAGAAAGGGATAACAGATTGATTATATTCATACCACCTAGAAATAAATACTGTTAAGATGTCAGTGTATTCTTATATGAGTTTTTCGTGCGTATTCTATCCAAATTCTCAACATATTTTTTCTGTGTTTATATGCATGTACATACCACATATGTACAGCATGTATATTTCAATTGTCACATAGGGACTATTTCTGGAGAACTTCTCCAAAAAACAGTTATATAACCAGCCTTTTCCATAATACAGTACATCTAGAAAATGTGGCATTATATTGTCTAGAACATTTTAATGACTTTGTTACTGTCATCTCTGGTTAGGATGAATTATTTGTTTA